CTGTTGTTGTTGTTATTATTTAGTTATTAACAGCCCTACGGCAGAAACCGTTATTATTTAGTTATTAACCGCCCTATGGCAGAAATACTGCTACAGGGTGGCACGGGTGCGCAAAATCACATGTATATGTATATATATATATATATATATATATATATATATATATATATATATATGTGTGTGATTTTGCATTTCCGGGTAGGGTGTGTGCACGCACCATTCGTGGTCCCTACCAGTGCTGCCATTCGTGGCCGCAGCTGTCAATCACCTGGTTCCAGACGGTGATTATCGAGCATTTCCGATGGGGAGGAGTTCTGTTTTACTAACAGTTCTCCTCCCTGTCACTTGGGCACACTGCTTACAGTGAAGCTCCCTGCACACAGTTAACCCTTTGATCACTCCTCATGTTTACCCTTTCCTGCCCAGTGCCATTAGTACAGTGTCAGTGCTTTTTTTTAGCACTGATCACTGTACTGGTGTCACTGGGGATGTCAGATGACTTCAGTTCCCCCCCAGTATCAGAATGTCTGCTGCAATCCTGATATAAGTCGCTGAATGCTGCCATTACTATTAAAAAAAAATTAAAAACAATTCCAGTATCTATACCGCCATTTGTAAAAGCTATAACTTAAACATAAACCAATTAATGTACACGTATTGGGATTTTTTTTAGCAAAGACATGTAGCAGAATACATTTTGGTCTAAATTTATGACGAAATTTGTATTTTTTATTTTTTTTTACTGGACATGTCTATTAGTAAAAGTCAAAAATATTGTTATTTTCTCAGAATTGTCGAGAAAGCTCAATTCGTGGGGGAAAAAAAGATGTAAATTTCATTCAGGTACAGCATTGCATGACTGCGCAATTGTCAGTTAAAATAACGCAGCGCCATAATGCAAGAAATGGCCTGGTCAGGAAGGGGGAGTAAATACTCAGGAGGGCAAGTTAATAATCACCTGTTTTTCTTCTATTTTCCAAGGTGTTTTATTTTTCAATAAACTCAGAAAAGGGCACTAAAGTGGAAAAGACAAACAAATCCCAATACCATGCAATCCCTAGAGTCCTTACTTTGATTCAGGAACTTTCAGCTCATGAATGGTGTGATATCTGAATCTGGACTTAAGCCAGTAAAATTTGACATGTCCCAATACTTGAATGTTTCTTTTAGTTCATTAGATGCCTAATTCGTCAAACTGAAGAATGAGGTTTTATACAAAACCATTAAAGAGTTTGAAATATTACAGAGTTTTATTGCACTGATTTGCATTCCTGTATGTCAATTTCAAGAGACTTTTTGAAGATATATTGGTACATTTGTTCTATTCTTTCTATAAGGAAAGTCAGTAATCTTTACAGAGTGTTAAAAATTGTTATACATATTACAAATTTGTATGTTGAGAAATGACAGATGTTTTTGTTCACTGCTTTCAAGTTAATACATTCTTTGAAAGGAAAGTCATTATTGGATTTTCTTTATACGTCTTTCAGTATAGCAACTGTTAAGACATAAGTAGCTTTGCTATTCGGTATTTAAATACTTAATTTGTGTACACTGGGTTACATTTTTCACATTTGAAAGTTACCAGTAAAAGTGAAACATCTGGAAGAAGGCACCGTCCAGTAAAGGTCACACTCCAAGAAGGTCAGTAAAATACCTTTATTCAAACAAATGTAGGTACACATCCAGTCGTCCTCATCTCAAACCATGCCAACTAAGCAAATCGTAGTGCAATGCATAAGCGTAGCATCTGTGTAGAGTTGAATAAAGGTATTTTACTGACCTTCATGAAGTGTGACCCTTCCTGGATGTTGAGTATGGAGCCAAGATGGGACCCCACGTTGGCACCTTGTGCATCAGTGTTTGGTGGAGAATTTATACATGTCACCTGAAGCAAAGCTGTTTGCGCAGTTCTGGCTACTAAAAGTCTATAATAAGATGATTTCATTTAAAGTGCTTCTAAGATAACAGTTCAATGTGCCTATCATGTTTAGCAAGTGTCTATTTTTCACTGAGTAATAAATACTATCCAGTAATATACTGTAAACTACTTTTAAATAAATTTTAAGTTTATAGTTGAGTTTGATAGTAGGAGTCGCAGAACAGAATTTTATTCCTTTTACCTTCCTTTTATAGAGAATACAATTGTTTATGTAGATGTTGCTTTAACTGTAAAAGTCTTCATTGCCACTGTAAAAAACACTCCGTTCATTAACTAAATTGTATTGTAAACTTCTCTTATATTTTTGGCACATTGTATCTTATAAATATAGCTATGTATAAAAGAATCTGTTCTTCGTTCCAGCATGGGAAATGAGAAGGTGAGTAATGGCAGCAGCATTGTTTACTTTATAATTTGAAAGTGAACAATACCACTGCTTAAAGGCTGAGACAAACTGCATATGTGGTGATGCAAAGTGATGCTACTGCAGTAATGCACAGGGTGAACTTCAGTTAGTTCATCTCCACACTTTAAGGAAAATGCACACACTGACCAAATCAGTCTGTCAAGAAAAAACAGGGAAATTTGACAGTATTAAATGGGCTAATAGCTGCGTGGTATTCCTAATTTATCAGAAAAGGGTTTTTGGATTTACCATTTTAAAATGTGTTTTCTAATTTCTAAGTTACAACAGTTTTAAATTGGAAAAATGTATAGTTGTGAACTGTAAAGTTGTATTTTTTACAGAATTTTTCTAGCAACCACACGTGCCATTTTTATTTTGAAAAAACAGAAAAAAGATGCTGGATTTACAGGTTTAAAATGTTTTTTGAACTGTAAAATGTACAGAATTGTTGTGGCAACCACAGCTGCCAGATTTTATTTGTAAAAACAACAGGATATTTTTTTACAATGTAGGGAAATAGCAATACAGCTCAGATAACCTGCAAGAGAGAGAGGTTCCCCCAAAAGTACTGACTCTGGCTGCTAGACATTGTCAATGTCATTTCTGAGAAGCTCGAGTCTCACCATCATGAGCAAATAACATTTGGTCTGAGTTGGTGAGCTTGCTAAAGCAGGTGGAGTTATGATATGAGAATATGGTTGTGCATTCACTTCTTCATTCCCTCTCCTCCCCATTTGCCACCCTTGCTTTATCAACATTTTCCCATCAACCCACTCCAACTGAAGGTCCATATGCCCCACAAGTAGCATCTCCCCCTTTATTTTCTGTCCCTCAAAGACAGCCCCAGCCATATTATCCACCCACAACATACTCTCTGGTACCTGATAGGAGAATTAAATGACGAGGTCAGCCTCACTTATGTCACTAGCCCTGCTGGAAGTGGAACAGAGGGTGCTGAGGGACCAGGGGAACAAGAGTGCCAGCAGATGTTGCCTGAAGAGCTTGCAGTTGGAGTCACTGAAGAGACTGGCAAGCCACCAGTTCAGGAACGGTACAGATGTTTCGGAATCCCACCTGGGTTAAAAGGGCACTCCGCTTGCACAACAGGTTCAAGATAAGTGACGTATCAGGTCTCCCAGCAGACTTGAAACAGGAACAGTTTTATGGTGAGCAGAGCTGGTATAGTGGACAGCCAAGTGGGCACTAGAGCAGGACAGGAAGCTGGGATCAGAGACAGGAGCAAGGTCACAGGAATAGCCAAGGTCATCAACGGGCGGACAGTGAAGTACCAAAACATGACCAAGCCGAAGTCAGGAACAAAGCAGGGAACAGGAACTAGCAACAAGGCAGAAGCGGAATCCGAAGTCAGGTCAGGAACAAGCCGGGTCAGCAACAAGGGGATCATGCAAGAATACAGCAGGACACAGGGAAACAGCTGAAGACCAGTCAGCAAAAAGCACAGGCAGAAGCTTCCTTTAAATAGTCCGCCTGGCACCAATATACACAGTATAGTATTGGTGTAGAATGGAATATTATTCAAGGTATTTTATGCATATCATTATTATCAATAATAAACGGTCATGGCCATTTCAATCCAAAGATTTGTGTTTTTACTTAATTATTCTTGTTAAAGGATTCCCCATACGGTCCCATCTCCAGCAGTGCATCTTGTGAAGCTGAGGAAAGAATTTTTCTGGAAAAGTGCGAGGATCTTCATATAATAATAATAATAATAATAGTATAATAATAATACTGAGTAGCATCAAATCTTTGCCATACCTTGTGAAATCAAAGGATGTAGCAATGACTGGGGCTCCTATTCTCTTTCAAATGACTCTGTTGTCCTCTCTTCCTCAAAAGGAACAGCAGGATAGTTGCATCAAACAGTCAAATGGTTCCATTTCCAAAAAAAAAAAAAAAACCACTGGAAACAGCAGCAGTTAGCTTACACACCACTTTCATGAGCAGGTAGAAGCAAAAGAAAAATACAAAAAAAAATTAGTTTGAAGAACTTAAAGAATTGTATTCTTGGAGCTAGAATTTATTTTATGAATATGCGCATGAAAAATCAAATACACACAAAATATATGCAGGCAATTTTGGCCAGCAAAAAATACTGATGCTTAAACAACAGGACCACATGCAAGTACTCTAACTGGGTGCATACGAAAGTAATGAAGCACTAGATTGCAGGCCTTATTTATGGCAGGAATCTTCACTCTAAAGTACTATGGAATTTGTTAGTAATGTATTATTAACCACTTGCCCTCCTGAGGATTTACCCCCCTTAATGACCAGGCAGTTTTTGCATTACGGCGCTGCGTTACTTTAACTGACAATTGCATGGTCATGCAATGCTGCACCCAAGTAAAATTTATGTCCTTTTTTTCCAACGAATTGAGCTTTCTCTCTGTGGTATTTGATCGCTTTTGCATTTTTTATTTTTTGTGCTATAAAAAAAAAGACCGACAATTTTGAGAAAAAAAAACTATATTTTTGACAGTTTGCTATGAAACATGTCCAGTAAAAAAAATGTAAAAAATCAAATTTCGTCATAAATTTAAGCCAAAATGTATTCTGCTACGTCTTTGCTAAATAAAATCCCAATATGTGTAAATGAATTGGTTACGTGAACGTTATAGTGTTTACACATAGCGGTATAGATACTGGAATTTTTTTACTAGTAATGGCGGCAATCAGCGACTTATAGTGGGACTGCGGCGGGCATTCTGACACTAGAGGGAACTGACTTGGTGTCACTGACATACCCAGTGACACCAATACAGTGATCAGTGCTAAAAAAAAAAGCACTGACACTGTACTAATGGCACTGGGCAGGAAGGGGTAAACATGAGGGGTGATCAAAGGGTTAACTGTGTGTAGGGAGCTTCACTGTAAACACACTGCTTTGGATGGCTGTGTTGTGTACAGCCATCCAAAGCAGTGTGCCTGAGCTGACAGGGAGGAAAACTGTTAGTAAAACAGTCCTCCTCCCCATCGGAGATGCTCAATAATCACCGAACGCCTGCAGGTAATCACCGGCTGGAAGCCAGTGGGCGAATGGCAGCACGGGTAGGGTGCATGCACGGTGCAGGGAGTGTTTTATTAGGGGGCCATGTCAGTGTGCTTCACTGTAAGCATACTGCTTTGGATGGCTGTGCTGTGCAAAGCCATCCAAAGCAGTGTGCCCGAGCTGACAGGGAGGAAAACTGTTATTAAACAAAACAGTCCTCCCCGTTGGAGATGCTTGGTAATCACCAGGCACCGGCGGGTAATCACGGGCCGGGACCCAGTGATCGGCGGCCGCGAATGGCGGCACGGGTAGGGTGCGCGCGTGGCTCGCCCATGACCCCTACCCAGAAATGCAAATTCACGTATATATACATGTGATTTTGTGCACCCCTGCCACCCTGTAGCAGTATATCTGCTATAGGGTGGCAAGAAAGCGGTTAAATGAGAATTTGAGGAAGCATAAACAATGATTTTGCAATATATTTATTTTAAAAAATCAAATGCATACAATCAGTGTTTCATGTTGTACTGTCATTATTGTACTGTCTTCTGTATATTACTCCAAATAGTATTGCCTATTTTTTGTTTACCTCTTATCACTAGAGTAGTTTTCAGATGATGATTTGACATTGCTATCAATGGAGACGTGAATTGTTGTAGTCTGCTACCTCTGGATTTCCTGATGGATTGTAGTAATAAACATGTTTTATTTACTCCATTTCTTCCGCACAAAGCCAATTTCTTTATTTAGCTCAACAAGAAATAGTTTTCTGGAAAAAAAAGAGAGATTCAAGTACAGCAAAAAGAGGCAGCTGGTGGGGTTTTCATTAGCAAACAAAGTACCATCATCATGGTTGCCAAGGAGATGGGGAAAAACACCAGAAGAAACAGTTTCTTGATAACAGCAACCATCCTTACCATGTATTGAGATGAACAGCATAAAATCCTAGCAGGCTTCACAATCAATCTTTTCATACAAAGTGCACAGACTTTTCTACAGGGAGTTGATGTAATGAAAAATAGTAAATAAGTGAGTCTTTTGATATAAACTAGAACTGGCAAACGTTGCAACATGCAATGAAGAATTATTTCCTTCAGGGTGTTCCTTCCAATAGACAGTACATAGCAATTCAGTTCTCTAAATTAATATAATGGAAACAATTTTAGGGAAAAACTCATAGAATAGATGTGCAAGTAATAAAAAGGAGTTGATACATAAAGGAAAGAAACTAATAAATAAAAAAAAACTTGAGTTTATATAGAAAACACTATAATATCAATGTGCAGCGCTAATAAAAATGTGTGTTATAATCAATGATGTGTGATAGTAAAAGAGAAAAGGAAAGGAAACATAAAAAAAAAAAAATAGAGGATAGTGAATACTCCAATGAAGAAACAAAATGGACGGTATATAAACAAATGAAAATATATAAGTCTAAATATCGTAACAGTCCCAAAATAGTGATGTGATCAAAGCAACAAAATGTAGTGACTTCTAGGATCATCACGTGGACGCGGCGGCGTGACATCAGTACGTAGGCTCCTCCCTGATGCGTCTCGTGCGCACACACGTTCTCAAAAGGGATCCACATAGTGCCGACGCCATAACAGTGTGTGCCTTATATAGGCCTGAGGACATGTGACCAAACCAACGCCATTTTCTAGAAGACATATAATTAGACAGGCATCATTTTGTTGTAGACCAGAAAAAACATAACAGTCCTGCACTTAAGATTGAAGGGATCGTACTAAATATGAACCATAGATAGATATTAATTAACAATTGGGGTTAAAACCAAAGACAATCTAATGTTCATTATGATGCAACCCCTCAAAATGACAAACTAAAAAACTAAAAGACAGGACCCATAAATGCATTCAAGTTCCTAAAACGCAGGTGATCTGCATAATGGAAACAAATGCAACATGCGTTAGAACAATATAAATGGTAACACCAAGTGGTTATTAGTGTGGGCGACCATAACTAGAAATGGAATATTTAATAGCAACCAGCAGCGTCATATTCCAAAAGACTGTGATGAAAAACTGGTCACAACATGTACAAAAGTTATGCATGTAAATGTAAATAAAAACAACATTACATATAGAAAACATGAGAAACATGATGATGTATATAATACAATACACAGGCAACAAAAAGGAAAAAAAATCACTAAATGACAAATATAGATCCAAAAAGTGGAAATATAGATCTGAAAAATAATTAAAAAGATAGCAATTTAGAGATAAGGTGTCATACAGGGAAAAAAGATTTTAAGATACCACCACAGAGGCTCAGATATCTCAAGGAAGTGGTATTGCAAACAGAGCTAACTGACCAGACCAACGCCATTTTCCAGAAGACATATGGTTGGACAGGCGCCATTTTGTTGTAGGGCAGAAAAAAAAAACATAACAGTCCTGCACTTAAAATTGAAGGGATCATTCTGAATGCGATCCATGGATGGATAGATATTGATTAACAATTGGGGTTAATAACAATAATAAGGGCAATCTAATGACCATTATGATGCAGCCCCTAAAAGATGAAAAACTACAAAACTAAAATAAATAAATGTAAATAAATGACAGAACCCATAAATGCATTCAAGTCCCTAAAATGCAGGTAATGTGCATAATGGGGAAAAATGCAACATGCATTAGAACAATATAAATGGTAACACCAGGTGATTAATGGTATGGGCAACCATGACTAGGATTGGAATGTATCATAGCAACCAGCAGCGTTGTATTCCACACGACTGTAATGAAAAACTGGTCACAACATGTACAAAAATTAAAAGAGGGACAGATTGTGAGACACCACCACAGGGGCTCAGATATCCAGAGGAAGTGGTATTGCCAACAGAGCTGTTATCAATAAAGCAATTAACATCTATGTTGATGTTGTGCCCTAAAGGGGCCAGGGTACCCATCTCATAAATCCATTTAGTTTCTAGTCTGGATACTGCCCCGCGTTTATTATCTCCCCTCCAGTGGGGATGCACAAGATCTATTCCAATGAATGACAAGCATGAAGGATCTCTCTGATGATGGTCTCTAAAGTGCTTAGAAAGAGTTTTCCTTAACTGCCTCCCGCCCGCCATATAGTAAAATGATGGACGCAAGGGAGGACGTCATATGACGTCCTTCCATTCTAACCACGCATGCGCGGCTCCGGGAGCACGCAGCACGGCGATCAGCGGTTCGCTGTGTCCCTCGGACACAGCGGATCCCAGATCAACGGAAAGAGACGAAGATCAGCGTGACAGCTTGTGAGGAGAGAAATGCCGATAACCAGCATTTCCCTGTTTGCATGTGGTCAGCTGTGATTAGACATGGCTGATCACATGACCAAGCCGACATCTTTGGCTCTTTCCGTGGATCGGTGATCCGCTGTGTCCGAGGGACACAGCGAACCACCGATCGCCGTGCTGCGTGCTCCCGGAGCCAGTAATCGGCATTCCTCGGAGGGGACATTAACACAGATGATCAGAGCACTGATGATCAGTGTGCCCTGATGATCTGTGTAGCCCCAGCAGTGCCACCTGTCAGTGTCTATCAGTACCAGCTGTCAGTGCTCATCAATGCCACCTGCCAGTACACATCATTGCCAGATATCAGTGCCCATCTGAGCTGCCTTTCAGTGTCACCCATCAGTGCCATTCAGTGCCACCTATCAATGCCAGTCAGTGCCATCTATCAGTGTGCTTCTGTGTCACCTATAAGTGCCCGTCAGTGCTGGCTATCATTGCCACCTAACAGTGCCAGTCAGTGCCGCCTATCGGTGCCAGTCAATGCCGCCTTTCAGTGCCCATCGGTGATGCCTGTCAATGCCCATCAGTGCCACCTACCAGTGCCTCATCGGTGCCCATCACTGCAGCCTCATTAGTGCACATCAGTGAAGGAGAAAAATCACTTATTTGTAAAATTTTATAACAAAAACTAAGAAAAAACTTTTTTTTTTTTAAATTTTCAGTGGTTTTTGGTTTAAGAAAAAATAAAAAACCCAGGAGGTAATTAAATACTACCAAAATAAAGCTCTGTCATAAAAAAATGATAAAAATGTCATATGGGTACAGTGTTGCATGATCACGCAATTGTCAAAGTGCAACAGCGCTGAAAGATGGAAATTGGCCTGGGCAGGAAGGGGGTATAAGTGCCCTGTAGGCTAGTGGTTAACCTCCTTGGCGGTATTCCCGAGTGTAGCTCGGGGTAACATTTCAGTACCAAGAGCGGTAACCCCGAGCTACACTCGGGAATACCATGCGGCACTGCTCCGGCATTTGTTCTTCACTTACCTTACCCTGCGCTCCCACGATGTGTCCCCTGCAGCGTCCCCGGCCATCTCCTTCGGCCGATGCCGGCATCCGGCTTCTGTGTCCTGTCCTTGTGACGTCGGGACGTACGGGCGCCGGCGGCGGCGGGAAATTTAAAAATTTTAAATAATGTCATTTTTTTTTTTTTTTTACATTTTACATAGTAAAACATTGCTGTCTCAACCAATTTCACATACATTTTGTCCCTAGTGCTTTGTCCTGTGCCCCGCCTGCATTTTGTCTGTTCTTTCTGGCTGGAAACTGAGAAACGTCCATGGCGTCCAAAAAGTGTCCCTTTAGGTCAAAAGCGGTTTAGATCAGCTAGAGAACAGCGATAGTAAATCAGAACCACTTACAGAATTGAGTGACAATGATTTGTGGGGAAATTCGTCATCAGACACTGAAAACGATTCTGCGACTTTGCTCAGCAATGTGCGAACTTATTATGGCGCTATATTTCAAATTTCAGTGTTTTTGGTTTGATTATATTATTGAATTAAATGTATTATTATTCTATTATTATTTTTTATGATTATTTATTAAATTATAATTTATGATTTTGTGTTTCAAATTTTATCATACCCGGGATGTTTAATAGACTCTTGTTCGGACAGATTTCAGTGAGTTATTCCTAAATATTACAGCCTACAATAAAAAAAACTACATATTTCCATGCAAAATAATGGTACCGCTTTCAGCACCAAAAATCTGAAATAATCATACCGCCAGGGAGGTTAAAACCTCTTTTGATATTATAGACGTGTTCTCTCAGGCGATATCTAAGCCTTCTGGTTGTTCTGCCAATATACTGTTTTTACACGAACACTCTAGGAGGTATACAACATACCTGTTATTACAAGTGATCAAAGAATTGATCTTATATTCTCTGCCCGTGGAACAAGATGTAAAAGAGTGTAGAGGTAATACCATTTATATTGTTCTAAAGCATGTTGCATTTGTCCCCATTATGCACATTACCTGCATTTTAGGGATATGAATCATTGATGTCACAATGTCCCAGAGTGGCCCCGCCCCTTACATATTTAAGAACTGTCAAACCACCGGAGCAGGCAGAAGGCTGGAAGCCATTGTTGGAATCGGAGTCTTTTTTTTATTATCCTTTTTTCTGGTCGGCGGCAGCGGCAGTGATGGCGGGCATCGTGATTGATGTTGAATCTACTGCGGGGGACATTCCTAAATTTTCTCCTTTTAATAAAGGACTTGTCAAAGACCATGTCCTGTCTTTTTTTTTTTTTGTGCATGAGTATCAGGACCATGTACTCCATATTCATTCAACTGGGGGGGCGGGATCTGGGGGCCCCTTGCTAAAGGGGGCATCCAGATTCCAATAAGGCCCCCGCCTGCAGACCCCCACAACCCAGGGTTGTGGGGAAGAGGCCCTTGTTCCTATCAATATGGGGACAAGGTGCTTTGGGGAGGGGAGCCCCCCTGCCCCAAAGCACCCTCCCCATGTTGAGGGCATGTGGCCTGGTATGGTTCGGGGGGGTGCTCGCTTGTCCACCTCCTTTCCTGACCTGCCGGGCTGCATGCTCGGATAAGGGTCTGGTATGGATTTGGGGGGGGGGGCACACGCCATTTTTTTTTTTTTTTGCGTGTGGCTTCCCTTCTAAATCTATACCAGACCCAAAAAGGCTTGGTAGGGATGGAAGGGGCGACCCCACTTTTTTTATTTTTTAATTGCCGACCTTTATTTTTAGATTCAGCTGTCAAAATATATATTATCTAGATCTTTGAAATATGTAAAACCATTACAGAAAATCATTATAAAGGATAAGAAACAAAAAATAGAATCAATGAACTAAGGGAATCAAATTAGAATTCATAAAGATATGCCTAGCTACAAATAGTGCTGTTTGTTAAACACATTAGACGCGATCGAGTGCCGTCTGTCAGAGGACTCCACACAGAGATTTACTATTGAACAGCGTCTAAAAAAATGTGTTCTGCACATGCACATTTCTATCCGTGCATAGACGTTGGAAAAGCATCTAGTTCTTGACTGACATGAATTCCCTAAATACAATTTTTTACCCACTGAAAATTTTTTGGGAAAAGTAATATATTCTTTAACCCCTTCTTGCCGGCGCCTCTCAGCCCTTTAAGGGTTTCAGAAAGTGGGGTTTAGGGTCATGTGACCGCCGTGACACGCAGTCACATGATCAGGAAAGGTCCCAATTGAAAGAGGAGATCGGGACCTTTCCGTGAGTACTGGACACGTGTGCTGGGAGCGCACAGGGCGCACGCTCTCAGTACATATGTTCTTTTTTTAATAGAACGCAAATGTACGGCTGCTCGCCATCTAGGCCCAGACGTCGGGAGGCCGCACATTTGCGGTCGGCCGGTGTGAAGAGGTTAAAGTGAAGTCCAGATATTTGGGAAAGCTAATTTCAATGGGAACATGTTTCTACAGTGATTTTTTCATTCTGTTAGACGCGCTTCTAGGGTGACTGTTTTTTTAGACGGATTCCTGTATTGTGGCCATAAGTAAATTCACTTTCGTGTCTATTTGTTAGATGCTTTCTTTAGTAAATTATTATTATACAGCATTTATAAAGCGCCAATGGTTCGCTCAGCGCTGTACATTACAATGGGAGACAATACATGAGACAGTACAATAATAGAATGTGATACACGAGGGGTTCGAGGGCCCTGCTCCTTGGAGCTTACAATCTAGGAGGGGGGGGGATAGTGGTACAGGAGGAAAAGCTGTGGGGGATGGAGTAGTAGGAAGAGTGGAGGAGATCGGCAATTAGCAGGGGGCGGGGTAGGCTGCCCTGAAGAGGTGGGTTTTCAGGGTGCGCCTAAAGGAGAGGAGAGTAGGCAATAGTCTGATGGATTGGGGTAGGGAGTGCCAGAGGATGGGTGAGTAAATGTGAGTAAATGTCTTTGCCTTCTAAAAGCAGAATGATTCCAATGAAAAGTAGACTTTAGCCTATGGAAAGGCACCTAGACTTTGTCTATGCACATTAGTAAATCAGGGCCATTGTTTCAGATAATCCACAAATTTACAAAACATACTGTACATGTATTTCTGCTGTGCAATTTTCCCAGCCACAATTGTGCTTTTATTTATACTAGACATGTACAATTCCTTTTGTTACAAATTGCAATTTGGACAAAACTAAATCCAAAAATAAATAACAAAATGAATTCTCCAAATTCTAATTCGAAAATTTATTTGAAAATACATTTGAAAATTAATTTGATATAGGAAACATTGCAATATATCCAGGAAGGTATTAAAAGTGAAATAATATTATGATTCCTACTTAGGCTGCTTTATAAAATAGAACAGGATAGAATAGAATAAAACAATAGAATAGAAAATAATAGAATGCAATAAAATAGAATAAAATTGAAAAGAATAGAATACAAGAGAATTGAATAAAAAAAATAATAGAATGGAAAATAAAAGATTAGATAGAAAAAATAAAATAAAGAATATGAAGAGACTGGATTCAAATAATAAAAAAAAATAGAAAGACTGCAGCTGTCTTCCAAAATCTGAATTTCAAAAAGAATAAAGTAAAATAAAAACAATATAGCAGTCTTCTGAAATTCGAATTTCAAATATAATAGAAATAAATAGAAAGAATATAGCTGTCTTCTGAAATTCAAATAGTATACAATGGAAAGAATGTAGCCGTCTTCTGAAATTCAAATAGAATAGAATGAAATAGAAAGAATACAGCCGTCTTATGAAATTCAAATTTAAAATTGAATACAATAAAATAGAAAAAATATAGCCATTTTCTAAAATTTGAATCTAATAAAATAAAATGAATGTAATTGTCTTCTGAAATTCGAAGTTCGAATAGAACAGAATAGAAAGAATACAGTCGTGTTCTGAAAATCGAAAACAACGAACAGAAAGAATATAAACGTCTTCTGAAATTCAAATTTTTAAATTGGAATTGATTGAAAATGAATGAAACATGAACATACAGTATGAATTGAATTCTGAAAACGTATAATTCTAACATATTAAATACGACAAACAAAATTATTAACTAAACGAGTGAATCCAAAAGAAACAACGTTTTTCTGTTTTGCACGTTTAATTTATACTTTCTTTTAAAAAATTCTAGATACTTTATGTGATTTAGATGTGCAAATAAATTAGTAAAGGTTTGAATAATAAAATACAAGTGTTAAAATTTCGAGGAACTAAATTCTCATATCCAGGGAGACAGTTTCCAGTCAATCTTTTGCAATCCTAAGGTTCGTATTATGTCACCAATTATAACCGCAAGTATAAAGTTTTTTAAAAATACTAAGTCAGCATTAGAATACAAATAGGTTAAAAATAATCATAAGGATGAATGGCATTATATTTAAGCGCCCATCTCTTTCACGAGCTTTGTTTCTGGTTTTCAGCACTGAATCATTCTCACAGCAAATTTTTTATGTTCTGAATTAAAACCTTTTTGATGATTAA